GTTATCTTTCATCTACCAAGAAATATGGCAGTTACAATTCTTCCAACAACTCACAAATGACTCGAAGTCACGCGACATGTTCAAAAGGAAAGAAAAATGATATGAATAAAAAATGATGAAAAAGAAAGAGACAAAAATCCCCGCTAAGTTGGAACTTGAAAAAACAAGTCGCTTAGGCAAAAGTCAGGGCATCCCGTTGCACTTCAGATTCATAGTCAAAAGGAATTTGTCCAGAAAGCAAGAGAAAAATGGAAATCCTGAAATGCGAGAAGGATTACATCGTTAAATCCTCAGCAAAGAACAGAGTCGCGTGATAAGAAATCCAAAAGAAGCAAAAGTGAGTAACTTGCATGTCCAAAGAAAACCTTGTTTGATTCCTCAACCATCTTGAAATTTCTTTTGAGTGATGAATGTTCGTGTCAAATTAACTGAACTTAGGACTGAAGAACATCACGAAGGGGGTGGGCACCAAATATTTTTGAGCCTTAAAATTTTTTTCTAAAACCGTGAACCAGGCCACGTTAAAACCCTCAAAAGTCCTAATTGAAACATGGTTTATTTCGAAAGCATACTCCAATGAGATAGTGTTTCCTGACTCCCATTAATTTTTCTAAATTATTATGATTGATATCATATGTTTTTGTTATCTTTCATTAAAAAAATCCATGTCGCATCATGGCTAGTGATTAGCTCACAAGGTTTTGCGACATCTTTTCAAATAAAATCTTCAAGTCTTACATAATTGTTGCATTAGAATTTTAATTTTTAAAATAAACATTTTCTGCTTGTAAAAAACCTGCTTGATATCATGGAAGTTTACATTTGAGTATCAGTAAAAGGCATGTTGCCAAGAAGAGTTGCGGAGCAAAGAGGATGCAACATTAAACCGATCTAGGGCAGTTACATTGAGATTCGACAAATCTCTAGAAGCCATTTGATCATAAAGGTTATCTTTAAAGCATGCATCCAAAGGCAAGTTATGAAATTTACCTTGATCTGCACGGTAAACTTAGGACACCAGATTGGTTTCCAAGGGTATATCCATGTTTCATCAAGATAGATGCTATGTCTACCCCAAGCCGATAATCTTCCACAAACATGATTATTTCTTGTGATCTGTTTTGTAGATGTGTGTTTGGCTTCCTCTAATAGTTGTTGATCAATTAAAGGGTTTCATACAAGATTTTTTTATGGTGTTGGGTTTATAATACCATTTTTCCAATCTTATTTCATACTTCTCCAGCTGAGTCTGATTCTTTCCCCAGCTTGATGGTGATCAAATGGAGGTTAAAAAGAGCTATAAAGCCTTTGCTCATTTGATGGAGTTATTCCTCCCTTTGTGTATTTAGAATAGATATGGAATCTCTTGTAAAGAATTGCTCCCTCCAGTTACGAAATTATTATTGTTATGTGCTCCTTAAGTAGCTAGACCAGGGAAGTATCTTTTCTAAGAAGTGTTGAGACAGTTGTCAACTTTTTAGGAAGGTTCTCCCAGGTCACTTCTGTTGGTATGTGCATGATCTTCTTGTATTTCTCAGGTAATTGAAGATTGGTGTATGGTGCGGTATCAAGTTTGTGATCCCATTGTCCCCAGTTAAGTCTTGGTTCATTTTTTATTTTGGGTTTGCATGGTCTGAAGCCTCTATCCCAGATTTCCCCAGTGAGGTCTTCACTCATATGACAAAAGCTCTTTCTCCCTTTGTGTGCTGAGATGGAACTATGCATAATGTCGCTCTTTTTTCAGTGTTGGCATTATTGTTGCTATTTATTTCCCAGGAAACTAGACCAGGGCAGTATATTTTCTAAGAAATTTTGAGACAGTTGTCAAATTTTTGGGTTTTCTCTCACCAATTGTTGAGTCTGATTTAAAATCCCCGTAATTTTGACCTCTTGTTATAATGTTAATTTCTTGATTCCCCAGTGAAGGATTCACTTATTTGGTAAAAGTCTTGTCTCCCCCTACATGTTGAGATTGGACTCATTTACAGAACACCTTCTTTCGGTAGCACCAACATATTGTTTGTTTGCTCGGCAGTCAGGAAAGGGAAATGTCTTATTGAAGAAGTGTTGAGATGGTCATCAACTTCTTGGTTTTTCACCCATCAAGTTCTGGGTTTGATTTAAAATCCCCATAAGTTTGATTTCTTGTTGTAATGTTTGACTTCTTAACTCCCGAAGATGTTATCCCCATGAGGTTTCATACTTTTTCCCTAGAGAAGTTGGTGCAATAGTCACTCTCAATATTGAAGAGCGTATCTTGATTTCCCCTCGACGATGTGGTGCTGTCCTCCCTAATGAAGTCAGTACAAGGTCTCCAATTGATATCTCGATGATAAGGCACTATCTCCCCTAGTGAAGTCTGTATGATATTTCCCTATTAAAGTCAGCTTGAGATCCTCAGTTGATATTTTGACTATATGGTTTTCATCGGCCTTATTTGAAACCAGTATTGCAGTTCCCAGTAGAAGTATAGACCATGAAACATTTTTTCCCCATTGAAGTCTGTGTGATATTCCCCGGTGAAGCCTGGAGGAGGATCTTATATCCCTGTATCTGTACTGATTTATTGCTATGATGTGATTAATTCCGGATTATGTTCCTTCCAGTGAACTTAAGCCGTGGAATAGGAATCGGTCTCCTCAGTTGGTGCTTACTTTCTTTTGAAATGTTCATCTTGGATGTGATTTAGCCGAGTATTGACTTTACCCATGTTGGTTTTATTTGGTTATCCCTAGTGTTATATGTTTGTTTTGTCAGTATATACATAATAACACTCATACATTCATACATACATCATGCATAATTGAATTTAGAAAATCATTGCCCATTTGCATTCATTAATTTTTTGTTAGCATATTACCCTGTTTTGCAGAGTTGTGTTATCATCTCTCCAATAGAGTGTCAACCTTAAGAAGAAAGTGTATATTCTTTCAATTTCCCCACTGAGTTATCCCTCATGGAATATTTTTGATTTAGCTTTCCGGTACAACTCTTTGTATGGATAGGTTGGGTTTCCCTCTTAAGTTTATTTATCAAAGGATATATTGTGGTTGCCTTATTCATTTCGGTTTATTTCTGGTTTGAATCTATGATCCCCAGCAATATTATTACTTTGGATTTCTGCAAGGTTCGAGCCTTGGTTTGAGAATATGCATTTATTTTGCCACGAGAAGACTTTAGCTTCTCAACAGGAGTATGTTGGCATTTCCCCAGGAAGCCATATTTCTTTCCCCAGGAAGCCATATTCCTTTCCCCGGGAAGTTAATTCTATAATCCTTCCCATAACAGCAAGTAATAGGTCTCTTTATTTTAGCAACTTATACTTCCCCGTAAAATTCGATGTTACTTTTTTGCTATCTTCTCTATGACTGGATAGTTTGCAGTTCGTTGTCAAATTACTCCAATGGATGGCAAGTCTTTTCAATATAACAGAGACAGTTCGTTGAGAAATCTTGACAAGTGACAGTCTCTTTATTTGAGACAATTTATATTACCCTTTCCAGACGGAATGCCTCGGTTAAAGAAGAAGTTGAGACCCGTTTTAGGTGAAACGCCATAATTTTGGGGAAACTTGTTATTATCAATATGTTTTTCTACCTTCAGTGAATGTTGGTAGTTCACCGTCATCTATGAGTCGGTATCTTTTTTATCTTCTACCTTCGACTATTGAGTTGGTAGTTCACAGTCATCTATGAGTCGTTATCTTTTGATCTTCTAATTTCAACTATTGAGTTGGTAGCTTACTGTCATCTATGAGTCGGTATATCTTTGATCTTCTACCTTCAACTATTGAGCTGGTAGTTTACCGTCATCTGTGAGTCGGCATCTTTTTTACCTTCTACCTTCAACTATTGAGCAACTATTGAGTTGGTATTTTACCGCCATCTGTGAGTCGGTATCTTTTTGATCTTCTACCTTTAACCATTGAGTTGGTAGTTTACCGTCATCTGTGAGTCGGTATCTTTTTTATCTTCTACCTTCAACTATTGAGTTGGAAGTTTACCGTCATCTATGAGTCAGTATCTTTTTGATCTTCTACCTTCACTATTAGTTTACTGTCACCTTTGAGTCAATATCTCTTTATCTTCTACCTTTAACTATTGAGTTGGTAGTCTACCGTCATATGTGAGTCGGTATCTTATTACTCTTCTACCTTCATCCATTGAGTTGGTGGTTCTTAGTTATCTGCCGATCATTATCATTCTCTACTTTTTCCTCAATATTTGAGTTGATGTTATTTTATCTCCTCTTTGGGCTCTCCCCCAATAGAGTAGGGTCTTTTGTTCACTAGTGATTTATTTTCCTGGTCGGGTTTCTTTTTGATTCTTTTTTCCTTTGCTATATCCCCAATCACTACAACATTTAGGCTCTCCAGCAACAATTGAAAATGTTGCCAGAACTCTCAAAATCGTTGCCTAAAACAATAGGGGACGTTTTCTAGGCGTCTCCTGTGCGAGCGTTGCCTATTGTTTGAGGCGACATTTTTTTATGTTTTTTGGGAACCTTTTGAAAAACGTCGCCTATAGTAAAGGAATAGGGGACGATTATTTACGGCCTCTGAGACAACGTTTTTTAAGCGTTGCGTTGCCAAATTCGGCTACAATTAACAATTGTTGCCTTAAACCTGAATCAGGAAGATCGTTTTTGAAGTGTAGCCATAGCTTATAGGTTGTTGTTTTATAGTGTCCACATAAAATATACAATTTTGCAATTATTATCAAAATAATATAGTCAATAATAATTGGCTTCAAAAATAATATTGATTATATAACTTAAACCATACATCCATAAAAGTTGTAATATAATAAAATCGAGTTCAAACTTTAATTCAAGATATAGTATATAGAGTACACAAAATGTCTAACGTAACAATATTACTTTTAATACTTTGAAGTATGACCCTAGTAAAATAACAAAAAACATAGTTCAGCAAAAGAACAAAAATCATATTTCAAGTTTAATGCTTTCAACTACAAGCCAAAAAAAAGACATCTTCCAACTCATTCAAGTTTGTCTTCTAGGAGTAAAGCATCCAGATCGTCCTCTTGAAATTCGTTAGATATGTCATCCTCCATAAATTCTTCATCTATGTCGTCCTCTTGAAATTCACCATCTATATCCTCCTCTTGAAATTCATCATCTAGATCTATGTCGTCCTCTTGAAATTCGTCATCTACGTCGTCCTCTTGTATTTTATCATTTAGGTCGTCCTCTTGAATTTTATCATTTATGTCGTCCTCTTGAATTTCATCATTTATATCGTCCTTTTCAACATCTTCATTGATACATTGCTGCATAAGAAAATAAAATAAAACACATTAACCATAAGTATTTTTGGTCCAAAGGACAATTAAGACATCAACAAGAATTAAACCTCGCACAAATAAAAACTAAACCAATGAGCAAAACACATTGTTTATATTCTTCACATCTCATGGATGTGAATTAATTATGAAGGTTTTTAATGGATGTGAATTTTCGTTCTAAACTGTAATAGGTGACATGAGCTTACTAGCAAATAAATCAATTATGAAAACCATTCTGTTTTTGGCTCACTATTCAGTACTTACAATAGCCTTTAACTGTATGTATGTATGTATGTATAACTTGTGCTATCCTTTTATGTTTATTTTTTGGAGTAAATGAACTCTGATGATCAATCTTACTTGTTGTATCTTCTTTGGTGTTCAGTATCATAAGGATAAATTTACAGCATACATAGTGAGTGTTATCAAACAAGGGGGTCCCATAATCTTATCCCAGGAAAGTATGTTTGTGAAATATCAATGAAAGCTCACACAAATAAAACAGTTTCAGCCACTTCTAGGTGTTGTCACTACTTAAACAATTTCAACCACTTACTTTATTCTAGGTGTTGTCACTACTTGCAAATTTTTGCATACATTAACAACCATTTTGATACTATAACATAATTAGAAAAATATAAATCAATAATATTGGTATATATGGTTACCTTTCCATGACATGGAGCATGAGTTGATGTAGATGAATGCATTTGCGGTCTTATATCCTTTGGGGAACTATTAGCATCTCCATGAGATAATCCTAACAAATCTTCAATTGACTCTATATTAATTTGAGGATTGCATTGTTGTATTACGGTCTTAAAAGCATTTTGCAATCTATCAATCTTATCTTGAAACTCATCCCTTAATGTAGAGACCTCTTCACTGTGGGCTTGTTTCAAAGCATTAATCTCTGCCTTTCTCTTTAAGGAAGTTTTAGTTATGTTTCTCCCATAACAGCGTACCCTGCCTGGACACTCCTTTCCAAAAAAAACTTTAAAAGCTTCTGTATCACTTTCCTCCTTTTCAACCATTTTTTGAAGTTGGGACTAGCATAAATTACAAAAAAATAAATATTAGCTACTATTATAGAAATTGTTGGCCGATAATATTAAGGAAACGTATTATATAAACAATGTTACATACAATTACTTTTCCAGTTTCTACATCCAGTTCCTTTCCTTTATTTCCTTTTCGAGTTTCAACAAACATTTCTGATTGAGTGGGCTCTCTTTTTTCCTTTTCACGCTGCACAAATCAAAATAATTCCATAACAAATTATGTGAATTAAAATTCCTATTCACGAGTCAAAGAAAAGTTTTTCACGAATACTTTAATTGAACAAAGAAACATTCATACAAGGAATAATTTATTGAGAACAAAAGAAAGTTACCACTTTTTCACGAGTCAAAGCAAAGTTTTTGGGACCCATTCGATGCATCCACTTTAGTTGAGCTCTATTTCTAGTGTTATTTTCACTGATTGCCTACATTTAAATTTGACAGAATTATTATAATAAATATTACTTAATTATGGCATACATAGAAAGGTGTAAATTCACACACATACATAAAAAAATTATTAATCTTACTTGTATAGTTTCCTTACTCCAATAAGCACAAAGACTCTTAAACTAGGCTATTGGCACGTTTGGCGGACGCTTTTTGAGTCTCTCGGTCATGTTGGAATACTTCAAAAAATGATTCTTCTTAATTTTGTGCTTATATCTTCTCCATGCCTCTCTAATAGTGGTCTCAATCCAATCTCGTGCTTCAACTGGCAAGATAAACTTCCGCTACATAAATTATAAGATAAGACAAGATCAAGAAATGAAACACTTTTTTTTAATAATTAGACTTTCAAATTCATAGATAAAAACATACATTAGTATATCTCCAGAAACGGTTTTTATTATCATCTGGCATTCCTAACCAATTGGTGTAACGTAGAGGACAAAATGTTGAGTTCCTAGCCAATGTTCCCAAGAAGAGGCTCAAGTCAGATACTAATTTTTCACTAGGACCAATTGGCTGAAAATCCTCATTAAAGGTCACTTCTACTCGCTCTTCCAAAGTTCTTGCATGAATCTTTTTGCACAATGTTTTCCCACGAGTTTTTCTTTGGGATGTTTCTATAAAGTAATAACACAACAACATGATATCACATGTTTGCTACCAATATGTAAATAATACATGAAATCATTATTATGAAATATGAAACTAATTACCTTTTTCTTCTTCTCTATTTGTGATTGCATCTTCTTCGTTGACTTTTGCCTGATTTTGAACACTTTCTTGTCGAGTTCCTTTTTTTGATTGATTTTGATTAGAGCTACGGTTAACGTTGTTGCCCGGTTTTTCACCATTGATTGACTTGGTTGCATCCATTTCCTTTGACTTGTGAAGATCTACATAATCATCAATCAACATTGATGGGCATTTTGGCACCCTGTTTAGCTTTTGAGAGCATTCAGCTTTTGACATCATTATGTCCAAAGATAGAGTATATTTCTATGGTTTCTTATTTTTGGAAGAAATAAATATTCTCCTTGCAACTGGTTTTTCCTCCTTCTGAATTTTATCTCTATTGTTCTCTAGTAGATTCTCATGAATTCTTTTTTTCAGCATTCCTGGTTTCAATATAATTTTCTCGTCATAATAATGTCATGAAAAGAAATATATAAATTTAAAGTATATGCAGGGATATTAACTACCTTGTGAAACTTCTTTGTTTCCATGTGCAAGAACTTCCTTAGCTTGTGGTTGCAAAAGCTTAGGTCTCTCTGCTTTCTTCATAGCAATGTGGTTGTCCAATTTTCCATCAACCTTTTGAATTCTTTCTCTATTCACTGTAGCTTTCACTTGAGTTCTTTTCTTTGGTGTTTCTAATTTTAGTAAAAATTCACCAAAAGATATTAGGAATAATTTCATGTAATATATGCATAATAGAAAAATTTAAAAATCACTTACCTTGTACAACTTCTTTGTCACCATGTGCATGATCTTTCATTACTTTTGGTTGCGAGAGTTTATCTATCTTCATTTTCTTTGCAATAGTCTCTTTGTCCAAATTGTGATCAACCTTTTGAACTCTTTCTTGTGGAGTTCCTTTTTTTGGTGTTTCTAATTTTTGTAAAAATTCATTAAAAAACAGTAGGAATAATATATCTAAAGGAATTCCAAAACATAACTTTAACATACATCATTTTATATAAAATCAAATGAAACAAGAAAATGATTTACCGTCCACAACTTCTATAATTTCCTGAACCCTTTCTCTATTGTTTCCCTGTAGCATCTCATGTAACTTGTCAATTTTTTCTTTCTTAACATGTTGTAGCACTTTCTTTGTCAATTGTGCACTTGATCTGACTTGAAGAGGAAAATCAAATCTTTTAGTAGGACTTCGACCACTCCTCCTATGTGATCCACCATCTTTTACACTTCTTACATTGTCCATTATGGCCAACAACTATGATCTACAAAGGGAGAAAATTACATAATTAAATAATGAAAAATTGAGTATAAATTGACATTATGCATAACCATAAATTAACAGTATATTTGAATCTAGTTTGTTATGGTTTAAGTAAAAAAATGACAGCATGTGTAACCATAAATTAAACTTTGAATCATAATCAGTACTAGAAACACATTGCCAATGCTACCTAATCAGTACTAGAATCATAATCGGTTTCATCGTCACTTCCATAACTCGTGTCACTATGACCACTCTCTATTGCTTTTTGGTTGTGAAGTTCTGACAAAGGAATTTCAAAGATATCATCCGGCAAATCTTTCCTAACCAAATCCACTTCACAATCATCCCTTAATGTATTAAGATTTGTTGAAATATCATATTCTTGGGCATCTGTACTTAAAGATTCTCCCATGTCAAATGATTCCCTTGGAAGTGCATTTAGAACATAGTGTTTGTTTTTGTTTAAAGGATCTTCAATAAAGAAGCATTGTTGAACTTGAGATGCCAACACAAATGGATCATTTTTGTAGAATTTTTTGTTAAAGTAAACCAACGGCGATCCATATTTATCCTTTTCATCCACAAACCAATCGCATTTGAACAATACATATTTTTCATGACCATAATAATCTAACTCTATAATATCTTTTATTGCCCCATAGTAAGTCACACAAATCTTTTTGGGATTTTCATCCTTCGCATTTCTAAGAACCTGAGTCACCGCTTCTAATGTCACACCACTATTTTGTGTTTTAAGCCTTGCTTCACGATTTGTTGTATGAAACCTGTATACATTAATAACATAACCAGAATACCTTCTAACGACATCATTTGGTCCCCTAGACAACACCTTCAACCATTCAGTAACTTTCTCATCCATGAGACGTGTTTCAAACCATTGAATAAAATCTTCTCTTTGATTGTTAGCTTTTCTGGACTTCCTTTTTTTTAGAGGATTATGATCATTAACCTCATGCTCTCTAAAAAATAAATAACTAATATTTTAATACAAAAGAAAAAGAAAACTTATAGTGAGAATGAAATTTTGTATCAAGTAGATGAGTGTACCTAATGTACTCTTGCACTTCATCGCAATTGAATAAAATGTAGCCGTGAGCTTGGTTTAGAGACTTATGATCAAGGGAAATTAGTTTCTTTCCCCCGATTGGATGACCTATGTTTGGAGTATCATCGATATTTTGTGTCATTCTATTCATCCTTGTGTCTACAGCACTAGACAGATATCTTGAACAAAATGTTAGAGATTCTTTAACTAAGTATGCTTCAGCGATAGAACCCTCTGGACGACTCCTATTACGAACAAAAGATTTTAAATCACCCAAATATCTTTCCATATAATACATCCATCGAAATTGAACCGGTCCACCCAATCTGACTTCATTTGCCAGGTGAATTGGTAAGTGAACCATTATGTCAAAGAAACTCGGAGGGAAGATACGCTCGAATTGGCAAAGTGTTTCAGCAATTTCTACTTCCAAGTAATCCAATGATTTCACATCTATAACCTTCTGGCATAAACACCGAAAAAATGAACAAAGTCGAAGCAAAGGGATAACAATTTGATTAGGGCCTATCCCTCTTATTGCTACTTGCAACAACTAATGCAATATAATATGAGCATCATGACTCTTGTATCCAGAAACTTTTCCTTCATTAACTTGAACACATCGAGAAATATTGGATGCAAGGCCATCAGGAAGTTTTATTGTCTTTAAAACATTACAAAAAATAGTTTTCTCTTGCTTTGTTAGGGAGAAACATGCCTTAGGGATTTGAGTTTTCTTACCATCACTTGTTTCCTTCAAATGGAGTTTTTTTCTAATCCCCATGTGTTGTAGGTCCAAACGAGCTTTTGCATGATCCTTTTTCTTCCCTTCAATATCTAAGAGAGTCCCCATTATATTATCACAAATGTTCTATTCTGTATGCATAACATCTACATTATGGCGCAAAGAATTATCCTTCCAATATGGTAATGGCCAAAAGATAGACTTTTTCTTCCATGGACCAGGCCTTTTTTTATGATATTTTTTCCCCACTACGTCAGGAATCTTTTCTAAGTCTTTTAAAATCATTGTTGAATCTAACAAGGAGGGTGCAGACCTATATTCTGGCTTTCCATCAAAAGAACTTGAATTTGATCTCCAACTATGATTTGAATCCAAAAAGACTCGATGACCCATATAACACATCTTTCGACTATGTTTTAAGTATCTTGAAGAAGTTTTATGATTACAAGCAGGACAAGCAAACTTCCCTTTAGTACTCCAACCGGATAACATAGCATATGCAGGGAAGTCATTCACAGTCCACATAAGAGCTGCACGCATTTGAAATGATTGATTTTTTGAAATATCATATGTTTCTACACCGACTTCCCACAATATCTTAAGATCCTCAATAAGTGGCTGCAAATACACATCAATTTCATTTCCGGGTGACTTTGGTCCAGGAATAAGTAACGACATCAAACAATTTTCAGCCTTCATGCACAAATTTGGCGGATAGTTATATACTGTTAATACAACAGGCCATGTGCTATGTGAAAGACTCATGGTCCTAAATGGATTAAACCCATCACTTGCCAACCCAAGTCTGATGTTACGAGTTTCACGAGCAAAATCTGAATGTTTGGCATCAAAGTCTTTCCATGCTTGGGCATCAGCTGGATGCCTTAACTTCCCATCCCTTGAACGATGGTCTGCGTGCCACCTCAATGTATCAGCTGTCTTTGAACACATAAAAAGTCTTTTCAATCTTGGAATCAATGGAAAATGTCTTATAACTTTGGCGGGAACCTTATGAGCTTTTATAGATTCTTCAAGATCATTAGCAACTTCAGGATATTCAATCCACCTTGACGTGCCACAAATATGACCTGAATCATCTTTCTCGTGATCTTTCCAAAACAACATGCAGTTGTTCGGACATGCGTCAATCTTTTTATAGTCTAAGCCCAAATCTTTTATCATAGATTTTGTTTTATTGAAAGAGACAAGGATGTTCAAATCTGGCATAGCCTCTTTTAACAACTCTACGAGAGCAATGAATGATGCATTACTCCATCCATGGAGACATTTCAACAAATAAATTCGAATAGTGAATGATAACGAGGAAAACTTTTCACAACCAGGATACAACTCTTGATTTGCATCATTAAATAGTTTATAAAATTTCTTTGCATCTTCATTTATCCCTTCATGTACTCCACCTCCTTCAGCCACATCTTTAAATGTCTCAAATAGTAAGCCATCGATATCATCATGAGATGATGTTTCATCATCACTATCACCATCAAGATCTATAATACTCTCATCTTCACCATGATAAATCCATTCAGTGTATCCCTTTACAAATCCTTTACTACATAAATGGTCATACACTACATCTCTTACTTCCCAACTATCATTGCAACATACAAAACAAGGACACAAAATCTCTTCTTCTTCAACCATTCCTTTGGTGAATGCAATATCCAAAAAGTAATTTACACCGTCCTTATAACTTTGACTGTGTGGAGGTAACTCCACCCAATCCTTCTTTATCATGTTTGGTTTTCTAAAATGAAATAAATTATACATTACTCTTTATCATATAAAGGATGGAAAAACACCATGGTTCATATATCAACGTAGCTTTTACAAATGCATAGTTATTATAAAAATTTCATTTATAATCTAAATATACACTAAACATGCATTCCAATACCAAACATAGAATAAATTGGCGAACTTTTAATCTAAACATGCACAAACATTTCATAGTCTAATATAATATGTATTTGTTGTTACTTTTCAAACTATATAATATGTATTTGTTACCTGAATTCTTTCAACTTGATTCCAACAGTAATAGAAACTAAAATCTTGTCCTTAGTTACAAGCGACTTCGATTTCAACACAACTTCCTTCACTGCAACAACAACAACAAAGCTAGTAAATGAAACGGAGACGTTTCTTTCCCAAACAATGTTGAAACCGAT